TTATATTGTGACTTTATTTTAGGCCTATGTAAGGCGTAATTAATTCTTTATGTTATTGTCATTAAGTGCGTAATGAGTCACATAACAAATAATCAAAACATTTTAGAGGTGGGGGTGCCAAAAGTGTCTTTGCCCCCAGGTGCTGAGAACCCTTGCTATGCCACTGGTTTGTATTACTTATTGAAATATAAAGTAACTTTAATGCAGTATAGTTGGCAGTTTTCCATTGATCAATAATAAAATTACATATTCCAAGGATGATTTTAAAAATGAAAATAAGTGACAAAAAGAAATAGGGTGATTAATATTGTTCAGTTTATGAAATGCAGAGAACTATAATAATGAGAGAAAAAAAACAACAACAAACAAATTAAGTAAATACATTAGCATTTTGTTTCTTTTAGAATTTTTTAGCAAAGCTACATATAAATATCTGTGCGCAGCCATTCCATATTTTGAACCGATAGATTGCAGAAAATGCAAGTCATCAACAGGACCCACCATCAACTGTTGGGTTACAGTTGTATGACTGAATATCGGTATTTGACCGTCACTCTTATAGCACATCCACAGCCTCAAGGTGCAAATTGTTTTTACAAAACAGGTAGCAAACCATGAATCCTTAGTGAGGAATGCTAACCACAAGCATCATCATATTCAAGTAACATGTAATAACATTAAAGTATGGAAAACAGGGAATCATTTGGTTCTATGAGCAAATCCATCCTTATTTTTCAGGAAATTCGTGATTACTCTCTTTTAACTCCTGTAACTTGCTTGTCTCCATAACTGCTGAAGGTAAACACTTAAATAACTTAACCACATTTTTTTCAAACTAATGTCCTTTCATCATTTTGTATTAGGACACACAGTCCTTTATCATATCAATCCACAAGGTAATCTCATAAACTTCAATTAAGCTCTTTCTCAAGAAAAAATGTAACTAAACAGTCTTACCCTATCTCCATATGACAACCCTTCTATTCTATTAGGCCTTCTCTTAACACTTTCCAATATGACAATATCTCTTCTTATATAAAGAGACCAAACTACACAACGTTAATATTATTTTCTTACACTGAAAATATATTTCCGATAGATACTTACCTCATTCAGTGTTGCCCTCTATATGCAAAAATTTTTTGGCTCGCCACTATTCTTTCAGCTGCATTGTAGCATGCAAATAAGCATGCAAAAATCCTCCACAAATAGGAGAGTGACACTCCCTCCTGTTGCAGCTGGCTCTCTCTTTACTGTAGAACTTAATCTTCACTTTGAGATAAGGAAAAAAAAAAAAAGACACCTGATGTGGGGTGGAGGGGTTTGAAGTTTGAGAAGAGGTAAGCATCTATTGAAAATATATTTTCAACATAGGAAAATATTAACTTTCAATACAATTTCTTACCTCTTCTCACATAATAGCTAGGATCCCACACAGACCCAATGGAGGGACCAGAGCAAAATTTACCAAGATCAGCACCCCTCAGAAAGTGTCCAAAGAATGCCCATGGAGTGTGACTTCTCTTGTTAGAGGAACACACTTGTGGGAGACTATATCATATCTGAACCAGGTGTACTCCACCCATCATGAAAGTATGTGTCACTAAGTTGGGAGGAAAAGAGGAGTACATCCTTCATTGTGGATATATATTAGCTGGTCCAGCTCCTTTCCAAAACAAAGGAACCCAGTCAGTTTGTTTAATATTTAGCTCCATGGTGCAGAATGGCTAGGGCACATCAGACTGTACTCAGTGGGTCATGTTCAGTACAAAACCAGGTGACATTGGGTATTTATCGTCAGGTCAGCAGTAGGAGGAGAGTCCCTACTGTTTTCACCACAAGATGAGGAAACCGAAGGGAAGAATGTTCCATACAATCTTCCTAGTCAGAGCACATGTGCAGATCAACAACCAAAACCAGTCACATGGGAACTAGACATCTGAGCAACGGTAGGAAGAGAAGTGCAACATGGTGGTTCACTCAAATCCAAAACCAGGTGGCCTTTTTCTGGTGGTTGGTCCAGCTCCATTCCAAAACCAGACCTCCTGGGAACCTACATCCAGATGGAAGTTCCCTAGCCAACCAGAATATCTCTTGGCTGGTCCACCTTCTTTCCAAAACCAGATCTCCAAAAGAAGATGGTAGGATGGGGGTTCCCCAGCTGATTAGTATAGCTATAGACTGGTCCATCTCCTTTTCAACACCAAAAATCCCAGGAATGACCTCCAGGAGATGGTAGTATGGGAATTCTCCAGCCGAATAGTACAGTAGTCCCTGGTGGATACGATCCCTGTCAATAACGATTACCTTTTAAATACGACCTTT